GGAAGGAAGGAAGGAAGGAAGGAATGCTTGATGTAATAAATTGATATGACTCTGAATTAACATTTCCAATCTTCGGTTTTCCCAATGAAAAAAAAGTCAGAAAAGAAAGGATTGAGTTTTGACGATGAGAACATGCTCATCGTTGTGTCTGATCTATTCATCGCTGGGTCAGAAACGACCGCAAGAACTCTCCAGTGGGGATTGCTCTACATGATGGCCTATCCAGAGATCCAAGGTAGGAAATAACAGCGGTCTTGACCAAACAAAATGAAGGAAAGCTTTTGTGAGTGATCTTAAATGCTGAGCATCAAGCCTGAATGCCGAATGGGTGAAGAACATAATTTGATGCACCAAAGGACCAAGGCTCAGTCGTGGAGAATGGTCGGACTAGGGAATGAGCAATTATTAAATTTAAGGTTTTCTTAATGGTTTTTAAAAATTGGTTTAAATCTCAGTTTTCTTATTGACTAATTTTTAACTGTTTTGTAATATAGTTATTGAAAACTATTTTCAACCTGTGAGCCTGGTTCCGTTTTAATTGTTGTGACGTGCCTTGAGTCACCTATGGGGAGAAAGGTGCCATAGAAATATTATCAATAAATAAACATTACATAGATCAGGCTGTCCATTCTGGAGAAGAGGAAGCTTTGATTTGACACTGGAAAGGTTTGGCCGCATCCACGGCTGTTTAGCTGGGCCGCTCTCAACAGGCTATGTATTTCCCGACAGTGACAACATATGCCTTTAAAAGTATCATATTAAAGTATACATTGGTGTCACCTTCCATGAGATAAGTGACTGAGATTTTGCTCCTCAGAGAAATGCCAGCAGGAAATGGATGCTGTTCTTGGGAACAATGCATGCTTGAAATATGAAGATCGGGAAAGGTTGCCTTACACAAACGCCGTCATTCATGAAATCTGCAGAAAGATGGCATGGAAATACAGTGGTGCCTTGCTAGACGATTGCCTGATGGGACGAAAAACCCGCAAGACCATTGGTTTTTCTGATCACTATGGTGCCTTGCAAGTACTTTTTTCTATGACCGTACTTCTCAAGACTGTTTTTTTTTTAAGACCGATGCATAGGGAACCTCGCACAACGATTTTTTCACAAGATGACGATTTTTGCGGAATGAATTAAAATCGTCTTGCGAGGCACCACTGTATTATCAATAAATAAACAATGCATAGACCAATCTGTCCATCCTGGAGAAGAGGAAACTTTGATTTGACCCTGGAAGGTTTTGGCCGCACCCACGGCTGTTTAGCTGGGCTGCTCTCATCAGACGATGTATTTCCCAACTGTGACAACATATGCCTGAATGTATCATATTAAAGTATACATTGGTGTCATCTTCCTTGAGATAAGTGACTGAGATTTTGCTCCTCAGAGAAATGCCAGCAGGAAATGGATGCTGTTCTTGGGAACAATGTATGCTTGAAATATGAAGATCGGGAAAGGTTGCCTTACACAAATGCCGTCATTCATGAAATCCTCCGTTTTTCAAGTGTGGTGCCCTTGGGGGTAGAACATGCCCCAATCAAAGACATGATGCTTTCTCGATATATAATTCCCAAGGTAAGAACTAACATGTTTGAGCATGACTCATAAAGCCAAGCAAACATAGCCTCTTCCAAATGGCTCATTTTCACCCATCTTATATCAAGAATAAGGAGTCTGCAAAGGTTCTGGCCTACAAACCTCTAGACCTAAACACAATCAGAGACTAGGGAAGAAACAAGAGAAGTGGCTGTTAATAATCATGGGAACCTCTTGCATGGAGCAGAGCCATGCTTTGCATGCCATGTAGCTGCTGCATCAAACTGTGCTTTGCATGCCAGCCACCTGGTTCATGGAAATAAAATATGCTTTGCAGCTGAGGAAGCTGCTGCATGAAATAAAGCCATAGGCACCTGAAATTCTTCTTTTTACTCCACTTTTTACTGGAATTCTGGGAATTCCAGCTGACAGACTTCTGCTCACCTGGGCTGGAAGGCCTTGTGGCCCAGAACAGGCCAAGCTCAGGACTAGTTCCTGTTGGGAAAGGTCGCTGCCCTCTGTTCTTGCTGGGAAACGTGACCTGAGCTTTGCATATCCTGAGCTTTTCAGTCTAGCCTTCTTCCCTCAGAGCACAATCCAGGTGCCTGCCTGGCCTTTGGGACTCCCAAAATAGAGAATTCTGGATTTGGAAGTCCAAATAATAATTATAAATAACCCAAAACAAATGAACGCACCTTCCGTTTTTGCTGTCCATTGTAGGTCATGGAGCTGCTACTAAACTGCATCCAAGAGAGATGCTGTATTGCATAAAGATGAAGAGACACAACGTAGAATTGATCTGTGCTTTGTACTAATGGCAAGAAGACGTTCCTATTGATAGGCACAGCTTCCTTTCTGAACAGGAAGTTAGGCACAGCTTGGCCTAAGCTAGGGCCATGAAGACTTCTGGCATAGGCTTTTCTCTCAGTTGAGCCACATATACAGGCGTGTGCTTTGTCCATCAGATGGGATTCCCCAAAAAGGGAATTCTGGCATTTCGTAACCCCTGCCCACAGGAGAAAAACACACACACACATAAATAATGTTGCATCTCTACTTGCGGGCTGGGCAAACAGATGGGCTACAGGCTGTCTTGCCCATGTTGAGATGTATCTGTATTTAAACTGTACCCATTATGTCTAAATTGGCATCAATACTTATAAGTCAGCACATGCCAATTCTATGCAAATCAGCGTCTCCTCTTGCCCTTTTAAGTCAGTAGCCTGTTGCATATGTATGCCCATGGTAATCCCCATAAGTTAGAATAGTTATGCCTTTCCAGAGGAAAAATGTACATTTGACAGCCAATGGCTATGTTGATACATTAACCTCGTGGCAACCGGACGCTGAACATTTCACCGGTGGAGTAACGCCAATGAGTGTCCCTCTCAGAATCCGGCCAGTCATGTTCATCTCTTTCTGTGTAATACAGTCCCTTTGGTTTTTGCAGGGAACTGCAATGATGATTAATCTTCACTCTATCCATCATGATGAGTCCCTCTGGAAGTCCCCAAATAAATTTGACCCTTCTCACTTTCTGAATGAAGAGGGAGAGTTTGTGAAGCCAGAAGCCTTTTTAGCTTTTTCAGCAGGTAAATCCTCTGCCTTTCTCTCTTTCTCTCTCTCTTTCCTTCTTTTCTTGTTTTATCATTTCATGAAGGAAACAGCTGAAAGGTGATCCATCATGTGACGATAGATTTAACTTCTTGGAGGTCACATCTCTGCGGGTGGAAAGACTAGGAAGCATATCTATTTCCTAGTTTTTCCCTCCTTATTGTCTTTCTATCAACATTTTTACTCCAAAAAAGCTCCTGACATGCTGACACAGTTCCTCCCTTCTCTCTCATGAGGATGAGCAGAATGGCAGGGCTTCCTTGCTGCTTCTTCATTCCTAGCAGGATGGAATGACTGTTAATCTGGTTACAAACAGCACAACAGCCCTGCTGAGCAGGACCTTCAGCACAGAGGACCGAGTGGAATCCCCTCTCCTCTCCCTCTGCTGCCGCCTGATCCTCGCTAGCCATCGCCAGCCTTGTTGTCCTGGAGCTGACGTCCCCTTTCTCTTTTCTCCCTTCCAGGCCCAAGGGTTTGCTTAGGGGAGAATCTGGCTCGGATGGAGTTGTTCCTGTTCTTCACCAGCATGCTGAGAAACTTCCAGGTCTCCTGGCCGGATGAGTCAAGCGCGCCGGACTGCACACCCCAGTTTCACGGCGTCCTGGCTCCATTGCCTTTTAAGGTGTCACTGAAGCAGCGCCAGCAAAAATGAATCGAGCAGGACGCCCTTATCCAGATGGAAGTGTTTCCAAGCCCCCACCCCACCAATGCTGATAAACACAGATTATAGAGAACACCATTTTAATAGCAGTCTCTGTGCATAGCATGGCCTCTGGCTGCCTCTAGTGGCTAGTTTTTGTAACTTCATCTTTAGAAATATAGATTTCTAGGGTTTTTCTTTTAAGATTTTTAAGATTTTCAAACCGTGAAGAAGTGAATTAGTGAATCCTGATCCCGTGGATATGGGAGTTCTACTGTACACCTAGAAGAGATCCAAATCTTGTTCTCGATCGATCAGAGTTTAAGAACATTATATAACAATAAATAAAGAAGATCAGAATTCGAGAATAAATAAATGTAAATAAAATTCTCTAATAAAAGAAGGAGGTGTTGGCATATAAATATCAAGCACAAAGTAGCAGTTATTTTTGGAATCCTAAGGTGGAAGAGGTCGATCAGATGAATGTCAACTGAGCCACTGGTCAACATTATGCTGGATTTTATATATTGCCGCTGAAAATAACATACTTCTGTGTTTTTTCAAATTTTGTACACTTTGCAAAGGCCCTTTGAAGCTCAGAAAGGAAAGGGAGGATGATGGTTTCCTGAGATCTTGGGGAACACACACTTAGCCTTGAATCCTGGAAGGCCCAACTTCAAGTTGACTTCAATCAACTACTTGATTAGTTAGTTGCTGTTTCTGTAATTTTTTCTTGTAACGGTCCAATTGTACTTGGGTTTCTGTGTACAAACATATCTTTTATTCTATAAATTCCTTTAGCAGCTGGCTTGGGAAACCCAGTCTTCACCAAACTTGGAGGGATTGTAGAGGAGAATAAGGAGAAGCTTCTCTGTGATAATGGAGTCTCCAGGTGCTGGGGGGACTTTCCTGGGGAGACACTGTTTCTGGGTGGATAACTTGGATATATGAAATCCAGTCTTCACCAAAATTGGAGGGAGTGTAGAGGAAAGTCATGGGGAGAGTCTGTGACGTTTTGGTGTCTCTAAGTGCCAGGGGTGGCATTTTATATCCAAACAAATCAACAAATCAAAAATCATTAACAATTTGTTGATTCATATTCATCATGGACATAGATTCGTATAAATACAAATTGACAAATTACGAATTTTTGGTATGAATTTGGTGATGCATTTTTTAAATTCATGCCCATTTTTTCTTTTTTCTTTTCTTTTTTC